CATCCCGCCGCCGTGCCCAGGGTTGTCGGTCGGAGACGAGACCCTTGGATCCATGTGAGGATCTTTTGGGAGACCTCTCGGGAGCACCTCGGAGGGAGGTTCGGAGGCGTTTGGGGACGTTTCGGGGGCCTCTTGGGGGCCTCTTGGCTCTGATTTGGGCCTCTTGGGGCCTCTGGGGGGCACCTCGGGGGCACCTCGGGGGCCTCTGGGGGGATCTTGGGGCCGTCTAGGGGCGGAGGGCTCAAACTGTCAGTTCGTGTTCCCCCTCTTGGGGCTGTCTTGGGGGCCTCTTGGGGGCTCTTGGGCCGTTTTGGAAGGATCTTGGGCGCCAAGTGGGCCGTCTTGGGCTCTCTGAAGACCCAAAACGCAGCAATGCTGAGACCATGCAATAACCAAGGGAGTTTGACTGTTTGGGCCTCTCGGGCCGCCCTCCAGGGCCTCCAAGACGGTCCAGGAGGCGCACAAGAGGGCTCCAGGACGGTCTTCGGAGGCATCTGACTTAGGTCATGTTGGCCATGCATGTCCCGAACAACGCGCTCTTGGCCTCTGAAAGAGGCCACGCGGGGAACACCCAGGAGCGCCCAAGAGCTCCCAGGAGCGCCCAGAACTCTGGGCCGTGATCCCATGAGATAATGATGATATTAAATGCAGAGATTCGCAGGGACCTGAGGACATTCCAACTCGTGCCTCAGGGCACGGTGGCAGATGTTTGCATGTATGTGTATATATATATGTATACATATACACACACACACACACGCACCCGCGGTAAGGACCTACCATGTCCAGACCCTCTCGCGCTTCTTCGTGCGTGCGCCAGCGCCGTTCCCGGTGCTTGTCTTGCAAGTTGCTTTGCCCGTGCCCTTGCCCTTGGCCGCGCCCTTGGATTGGCTTTTCGGATCGCCCTAGATGGCGGGTCGCTCCGTTTCGCACGCGCGGCCCGCTCGGACCTTACTCGCCGCTGGCGCTCTCGCCTGCGGTTGCGACGCAAAAGTAACCCCACCAGCCCATCCAGAAACGATGTCCACAGGATTTGCCTCGATCAGGGAAGTGGGCAGCACACAGAAGAAGGGTCCCCCAGTGGAGGCCTCTTGGAGCGTCTTCGGGGCCTCTTGGCAGTCCCAGACGCATCTTAGAGCGTCTCGGGTGCCTCGCAAAGCTTCTTGGGGCCTCTTGGGGGTCTCTTGGGATCCTCTTGGAGGCCTCTTGGGCGCCTGTTGGGGCCTCCTGGGGCCTCCTGGGCGCCTCTTGGGGCCCTCTTGAAGTGCTCTTGGGAGCCTTGGGAGCGCTCTTGGAGAGCCTTCTTGGGCCATCTTGGAGCCAGCTTAAGCGAAACGGCTCAAAGAAGGGGGCTCCCTCAATTAGCCTCTCCCCTCGGGAGCCCCCCAAGTCGCTTTTTTGAGCGTTCTCTGGGCGCTCTTGGAGCGCTCTTGGGCGCTCTTACGCTCTTGGGGCCGTCTTGGGGCTCCCTTGGGCCCCTCTTAGGGCTCTCTTGTGCCATCTTAGAGCCTCGAATCGCCATCAGAAGAGAAAAGGCGAGAAAGCCAAAAACATTAAATTTCCCAAGGTTTGTGAAGGATGTTGGCCTCTTGGGGGCATCCTTGGGGAGCTTTTTTGGCAACTTCGAGCCGTCTTGGGACAGTCTTGGGGCGTCTTGGAGCATCTTGGGAGCCATCTCGAGGCATCTTGCGCTATTTTGAGCCATCTTGGACGCCATCTTGGGCCCTCCGCAGCCCTGTAGGGGCCGTCTTGGGCGAACAAGTGCACTCTGACACGTCGCGACCGGCCCCGTCCAGGTCCAGGGGAGGGGGTAGGGGGAGGGGTGCACCCCTTCCCGAAAGGGAAGAAGGGAGGGGGAAAAGGAAACGCTCTAGACCACGAACGCCCAGAGGGCTGGTGGGATTATCTTGGCGAAGGACCCGACCATATGCAGTTTTGAGTACCGCAATTTTGAATATGTTCTTCGGTGGCGCTCCCTATGGGGCCACGAAACGCTGCACTGGGTGGGGGGAACGTATGCGGGCGGTAGCACTGGGGCCGTCGGTGGAGTTCAGCATGGGGCCAGCGCTGTACTTGGTGGGGGGGATGCATGCGGGCGGTACAGCTGGGCCCCCGGTGGAGCTCCTTATGGGGCCACGATGCGCTGTACTGGGTGGGGAGGACGCATGCGGGCACCCCCACTGGGACCTTCGGTGGAGTTCCCTATGGGGTCACGAGACGCTGTACTGGGTGTGGGGGACGCATGCGGGCACCCCCACTGGGACGTTCGGTGGAGCTCCCCATGGGGCCACGAAGCGCTGTGCTGGGTGGGGGGGGGGACGCATCCGGGTACCCCTACTGGGGCCTTCGGTGGAGCATCCTATGGGGCCACGAAACGTATGAGGGGTGGGCCAAAGTGAGGGGGGTGACGGGAGGAGGGGGAGGAAGAGGAGGAGGAGGAGGAGGAGGAGGAGGAGGAGGAGGAGGAGGAGGAGGAGGAAGGAGGAAGGCGGAGGAAGGAGGAGGACGAGGAGGAGGAGGAGGAGGAGGAGGAGGAGAGGAGAGGAGAGGAGAGGAGAGGAGAGGAGAGGAGAGGAGAGGAGAGGAGGGGAACGCGGGGACCGTCTCTTCAAAACGAGGACCCAACACCACAGGATGGTTGGGAAATCGTAAAAAATGGTCAGTGATTTGTTTTTGGTTTTCGACTATTTCTAACTATTTTGAATCGTTTTGCCAATTTTGCATTTGTCGTTCAAAATTCGTTTGTAGGGGGACATGCCCGACCTAAATGTAGTAACACCCCGCAGTTGCGGATAAGAGTGAGGGGGCTGCGAGGATGTCCTCAGTCTGCGAGGCTCTGGAGAAGCCCGCCGCAGGCGCTTAACTTTTACAAAGTATGCATTGAGCCCGTCGCAGGCGACGATTTTTTCGTTAAAGCATTGTGGGTGGATCGCGGGGTGAGTCGCGGGTGGGTCGCGGGTGGGTCGCGGGCCGTGTCGCGGATGGGTCGCGGGCCTTGTCGCGGGTGGGTCGCGGGGTGGGTCGCGGGTGGGTCGCGGGGTGTGTCGCAGGGTGGGTCGCGGGGTGTTTCGCGGGGTGGTGTTCGCGCGCTTGCGTAATCATTCAAAAACCAACGGTTTTTGAACATTCATGTCACGCGGGACTTCGCGGGCAACTTCTCGCGCGCACGCCGAACTCATTCAACAACTTCCGCGCGCGTGCCAGAGGCAGACTTTTTCACGAATCCCTTGTAAATAATACCATAAGGCGCACATGCGCGCGGCCGCCGCGCGCGCATGTCGAAATCTTTCTAAACACATTGTGATTGCGAAGGCCTGACGGCCGGTGCCGCCGACCCTGTTCGCAATGCGCAGCAAGAGGCACGGGCTGTGGGATGGTTTGGGGGAACGGGGAGAAGGACGAGAAGGTGGGGGAGGGAGGTGTCGTATCTGACCCGGGACTTCCCCGGGACTCCCCCGGGACCCCCCCCGGGACCTCCTCTCCCCCCCCCGTCGGGGAAGGGAAAGGGAAGGGGCTTCCCTTCGACTCAATGACGACGTTGCTCAAGGTCGGTACGGGGGGGGGGCGTCGTATCTGACTCGGGGGGGGGGTCGCTACCCCCCCCCGCTACCCCCCCCCCCTCCCGGCGGGGGAGGAATGAAAGGGAAGGGGCTTCCCTTCGACTCAATTACGAGGTTGCTCAAGGTCGGCTTGGCTGGAGCCCAGGGGAAGAGGAGTCCCAGGGGGGGGCGTCGTATCTGACCCGGGGGGGGGGTCGCTACCCCCCCCCCCCTCCCGGCGGGGGAGGGATCAAAGGGAAGGGGCTTCCCTTCGACTCAATTACGAGGTTGCTCAAGGTCGGCTTGGCTGGAGCCCAGGGGAAGAGGAGTCCCAGGGGGGGGCGTCGTATCTGACCCGGGGGGGGGGTCGCTACCCCCCCCCCCCTCCCGGCGGGGGAGGGATCAAAGGGAAGGGGCTTCCCTTCGACTCAATTACGAGGTTGCTCAAGGTCGGCTTGGCTGGAGCCCAGGGGAAGAGGAGTCCCAGGGGGGGGCGTCGTATCTGACCCGGGGGGGGGGTCGCTACCCCCCCCCCCTCCCGGCGGGGGAGGATGAAAGGGAAGGGGCTTCCCTTCGACTCAATTACGAGGTTGCTCAAGGTCGGCTTGGCTGGAGCCCAGGGGAAGAGGAGTCCCCAGGGGGGGGCGTCGTATCTGACCCGGGGGGGGGTCTCGCTACCCCCCCCCCCCCCTCCGGGGGGAGGGATCAAAGGGAAGGGGCTCCCTTCGACTCAATTACGAGGTTGCTCAAGGTCGGCTTGGCTGGAGCCCAGGGGAAGAGGTCTCCCAGGGCCACTTTTGCTCGGACGTAGAACTAACTCAACAACCTCCGCGCGCTTGCCAGACGCGCCGTCGTCGTCGTTGTCGCTGTCGTCGTCGGCGTCGGTATCGTGGCCAAGTGCTATGTGGTACCTACCGTCACGCTCTTGTCTTAAGAAGTCTTGCGACCAAGTTGCGGGTGGGAGGGTGGGATGTTTGCACGAGCAGTGGAGAGGACAGCTTCAAGACGGTCAAAGTGGATTGCACCACATATACTGCGCCAGATGCGTTGCACAACGTGGTCTGCACAACATATATATTGCACCACATGAGTGGCTCCACATATATGGCACACTATAGATTGCGCACCACACACATGTCACTACATAAATCGCAGATTTCACAACATATATGGTACAACATATATTGCACAACATATATTGCAACACGTAAATTGCACCACATACGCTGGACCGCTTATAGGGTCCCACACCTATTGCACAACATAGCTTGCACAACACACGTTGCACAACATATGCATATATGGCTAGAATCACACTGTGTTGGACCCGCGCTGGCTAACAGTTTTCTTGGTTGGATAGAATCTGATAGCCTCAGACAGCCACAGATGGCCTCGGGCAGCTTCGAGCACGACTCCGAACAGCAAAGAGGGCCCCCGAGAGTTCTGGCATCGCAGCATCAGGACCCGCTACCTGCGGACCACCTTCTCGGCGTCCATGGCGGGCGAAGAGGCCGACAAGGTCGGGTGTTGCCAGAGGTGCCCCTGGCCCAAGGTGCCCCCAGGACTTCCAGGGAGGCCCTCACGGCCTCCAGAGCACCCCTCACGAGGCCCAGGGGGCCCCAGGGACTCCAAGAGGGATCAAAATGGAGCGAAGAGCCGGGGGCACCTTGGGCCATGGGCACTTCTAGCAGCACACGACAAGGGGCTGGCGTGGACGACCATCGCGAACCTCAGGACCTTCGGCCCCCGCCGCTCGAAGGAGTCCGCGTCCTTCGGCCCGAGGCGGTCGAAGGAGTCTGCGTTGTCGGAGGTCCGCCACCGTGCAGCCGAGATCCTGAACCGGCAAGACAGAGTGTTGGTGTTCCGGGGGGAAGACGGAGCAACGGAGAAATCGGGGGCCCCCAAACGGGGTGGTGACCACATTGTGTGTTGAGTCGGTGGGGATTCGGGGTCACCGCACGATTCTGGTACTCGAGTCCCTCTCCGAGGATGTCTCGGGCGACAGGGGCCTCCGAGGTCCCAAAACCGTGTGTTGACGGACCGTGCGGTGAGGTTTTGGGGGATTTCGAGGTCACCGTACGGTCTGTCACGCACCGTTTCGGGACTCCAGAAGAAATCGAAAGCCATCAATATTGAAAACACATAGATACCCATCGGTCGTTGAAAGTAGGTACTTTAGATTCCCAGGTTCCAATCTACTATAAGCGCCTTCCTACTTCAATGTTCGAGTTGCTTCAACTTTTACGTTCTCATCAGGGGGCGGGCGGGACCCCTTCCTACTTTCAACGCCTTCCTGCTTCATGCTTCTGCCTACTTCTTCCGACCGATGGGCATACCCTGTCAGAGGTCCGCGCGAATTTCTTGGGTCGGCGCTGCACACCCCCTCCTCCCCTCACCCCTGGCGGGGCTTCACGCGCTGACGAAGTCTAGGCCTCCTGGATGAGGTCGGAGTAGATGGGGTCGGAGGATCGCGCCGCATCGCCGATGCATCGGCGATGCACCAGCGATGCGGCTCGATGTGGGGCCCAATTTTCTCCACGCCGACGTCGCCGATGCATCGCCGACGTCGGCAGTGCATGGCCGATGCATCGCCGATGCAAAGGCGATGCATCGCCGATGTATCGGCGATGCGGCGAGATCCCCCGACCCCATGTCTTCGGACCCAATCTAGGAGGCCTCTACGAAGGGGTGTGAGGAGAGAGGAGAGGGGTGCAGCGCTGACCTAAAAGATCCGCGCGGACCTCCGAAGGTTCGTGTTTATGCCATTGTGTCAGTCTTGTGGTACGCGGGGGTATCGTCCCGAAATTCCCTCATATGCTTTCGCGGGGCGCTCTGCTCGCATAGACGTTCGCAAGAAAGTGGAAAGGTGTTGATTCCGTTTCGGACAGGCTTTGTCTCATTAGCGAGCTTGTCTTGCAGGTGCTGAAGTGCCAGGGAGAGAACCGCGCGGCGTGCAAGCTCTACCTGTGGCTGGCTCAGCAGGAGTTCGATGAGCTCTCGCAGGATTCCGCGAAGCCCGTTCTCAAGCAGTGGGCGGGCGACCTGGACTGCTCGGAACTTTGTTAGAGGGGCATGCTGCCGCTCCTTAGAGTGGTTTGGACACCATCGTCATCAGAAGCAGACCATGCAGTACTTGGGAATTGGCCGCGCCGCGACTGTCTCTCTTAGGGTCGCAATGGCCGCTAGTTAGTTGTCGAGATTTGGGGGATATGACCCTTGGCATCCGATGAATTTCGTCTACGCTCCCAAGGTAGCGCCTACTCTTTCATCAGGCTCCTGGGCAGCCATCTTGAGCAATCATTTTTCTGGCGACCCATCGCTTATGTGCGGTACTCGTGACAAATCCGACTGCGTACTCTCATAACCTTGGAGCAGGTCTGCGAAAACGCAGACCAATTATGTTTTTGGCGTAGTGTTGTGGCCGTCGCCTGAGTGTGTCCCAATGCGGACGAACCTTTCAGATCCTTTGAGACACTTTCGAACACCATATGCATTCAGCCCTCTGCATATACGACCAGACTTTGTGCAATCTTATGCGCGCGGCCAAATCCCCCTCTTCCTCTACGTCCTCGTCATCGCACTCTTCTTGTTGCGATCCTCTTTCCGCGTCCTCCTCGTCCTCACATCCTTTGCGTTCGTCGCCCGCTCCTCGCAGAAATTGTGCTTCTGGGCTTCTGGGCAGGAACCCACAGACAAAAATTGCCCGCGCCACGAACTGCACACGTGGGGGTGCTGGGGTCGAGAGCTCCAGCGCTCCGCGGGCGGGACATGGACACGACAACTGAGGTCCGGGAGATTTCGGGAGGTTCGCAGAGGCCCGCAGAGGGCTCTCGACCAAAAATCCCCCCAGACCTACGACGCCCCGATTTGTTGTGGCTCATGCCTGGACCCCCGCTGCGCGCGCGAGCACCATTCCTCCTCTTCCTCCTCGTCCTCCTCCTTCTCCTCCTCCTCACACTCCTCGTTCCTCGCTTTTCGCTCCTCCTCGCTCCTCCTCCTTCTCCTCCTCCTCCTCCTCGTCGTCCTCCTCCTCCTCCGCCTCCTCCTCTTACTCCTTCTCCTCCTCCTCCTCCTTCTTCGCCTCTTCTGCTCTTCCTCCTACCCCTCCTCCTCCTCTCCCTCCTCCTCATCGCCCCCTCCTTCTCCTCCTTCTCCTCTCTCCTCCTTCCCTCCTCCTCCTTCCTCCTCCTCCCTCTACCTGTCTTCTTTTTCTCTCCCCTCCTCCTTCTCTCCTCCTCCTCCCCTTTTCCTCCTCCTCCTCCTCCTCCTCCTCCTCCTCCTCCTCCTCGCTTCTCGCTCATCACTCCTCGCTCCACCTCTTCCTCCTCCTCCTCCTCCTCCGCCTCCGCCTCCGCCTCCGCCTCCTCCTCCTCGCTCATCCTCGCTCCGTCTCGCTCCTCGCTCGTTCCTCCCGTCGCCGCTCCTGCCCGTGGCTGAGAGTCCACTTCTCTTCCGAAATTTGAGACGGGGGTAACCCCGTGTTCGAACCCCTTGTCAGGGATATGTTTTTCTTCCGCGGAGACCTGACCCCATGGATGCACTCGGCGCGCACCAGAAGTTGTTTCCTTCCAGGTGGCCCCCCTATGGGTCCTGCGCTTGAGTCGGAAAGCGCGCCACCAGTGGATGACCCTGAATACATAAAAGGGGGGGGGTGCTCGCAGAACCCCCCCCCTCCCCCCCTTCAAAGGGGGGGGAGATTTTCGACCCCCCCCTCCCCCCCCTCCTTAAGGGGGGGGGTAAGGTCAAAATATGGTTCTATTTAACGATGTGCTGTTTTTGCTTACACGGACCTCTCCTCTCCTCTCCTTCTCTCTCTCCTCTCTCTCTCTCTCTCTCTCTCTCTTTCGTTTCCGTTAGGATTCTATCATAGGAGGAAGGCGTATTACACATTGATTCCTGTTGCGGAGGATGACAATCGGATTCTTTTTGTGAAGGCTTACAGTAGGATTCCTTGTGTGGAGCATTGCAATAGGATTCCCTTTTGTGGAGCATCGCAATCGGATTCTCTTGTGGAGGATTACAATAGGATTCCTTTTGTGGAGGATTACAATAGGATTCCTTTTGTGGAGGAGTACAATAGGATTCCTTGTGTGGACGATTACAATAGGATTCCTTTGGTGGCGGTATTTGGGAGAAACCTAGGAGGAGAAAAAAAAACAAGAAAACCAATGAAATCAGGACAATTGCAGGTTTTCAATGATTTTCCATGTTTTGCAAATACCTAAAACAACACAGCGTTTCTAGCTCCCTGGAACGAAACACATGTAAAAACACATCGTTTTCAAACCCCTGGAGCAGAAGCGCTGTGTTTTAATACGGTTTCGCTTCCAGGGGCTTGAAAACGCTGTGTTTTTATATGTTTTTCGCTCCAGGGAGCTAGAAACGCTGTGTTTTTATATGTTTTCGGTTCCGGAGAGCTGAAAATGCTGTGTTTTCGTTTTTTTGGCAAAATATGGAAAATCATGGAAAACCTGCAACCTTCCTGATTTCATTGGTTTTCTTTTTTTTGTTTTTTTTGTATTTCTCCCAACCATCCTGTGGTGTTGGGTCTTCGTGTTGAAGAGACAGCGCCCCGCGTCTCCTCTCCTCTCCTCTCCTCTCCTCCTCCTCCTCTCCCCCCTCCTCCCTCCTCCCATCGCCGTCATCATACTCATTGTCATCATCATCCTCATCTTCATCATCATCATCATCATCCTCGTCATCATCACCACCAGCATCATCATCGTCATCATCATCGCCATCGCCATTAGTTCCCAACCACCCTGTCATCATCACCACCAGCATCATCATCGTCATCACCACCAGCATCATCATCGTCATCATCATCATCATCATCATCGCCATCGCCATTAGTTCCCATTTCCGCACACCCCTCACGCATTTCGTGGCCCCATAGGGAGCTCAACCGAAGGCCCCAGTGGCAGGGTTCGCATTGCCGCCCCCACCCCACTTTGGACACCAACCATCACACTTTTGTGGCCCATAGGTAGCTCAACCGAAGGCCCAGTGGCAGTGTTCGCATGCCGCCCACCACACCACTTTGGCACTACCCCTCAACACGTTTCGGGGCCCCATAGGTAGGGCTCCCGCCCAAGACGGCGTGGCAGGGTTTCGCATTGCCGCCCCCCCCCCCCCCCCCCCCCTCACCTCACTTGGACACTCCCCTCTCAGTTTTCGTGGGCCCCACAGGGTGCTCCACCGACGGCCCCTGTGGCTGGGTTGCATGCACGCCCCCACCCCACTTTGGCCACACCCTCACGGTTTCGTGGGAACATAGGTAGCTCCACCGAAGGGCCCCAAGTGGCTCGGGTTCGCATGCCTCCCCACCTCACTTTGGCTCACCCCTCACGCGTTATCGTGGCCCCACAAGGTAGCTCACCGAAGGCCCCAGTGGCAGGGTTCGCATGCCGCCCCCGCCCCACTTTGGCACACCCCTCACACGTTTCGTGGCCTCATAGGTAGCTCCACCGAAGGCCCCAGTGGCAGGGTTCGCATGCCGCCCCCACCTCACTTTGGTGCACCCCTCACACGTTTCGTGGCCCCACAGGGAGCTCCACCGACGGCCCCAGTGGCAGGGTTCGCATGCCGCCCCCACCCCACTTTGGCACACCCCTCACGCCTTTCGTGGCCCCATAGGGTGCTCTACCGAAGGCCCCCGTGGCAGGGTTCGCATGCCGCCCCCACCCACTTTTGCACACCCCTCACACGTTTCGTGGCCCCACTGGGAGTTCCACCGACGGCCCCAGCGGCAGGGTTCGCATGCCGCCCCCACCTCACTTTGGCACACCCCTCACGCGCTTCGTGGCCCCATAGGTAGCTCCACCGAAGGCCCCAGTGGCAGGGTTCGCATGCCGCCCCCACCCCACTTTGGCACACCCCTCACTCATTTCGTGGCCCCATAGGGAGCTCCACCGAAGGGGCCCCAGTGGTTGCGTTCGCATGCGTCCCCACCACTCATTTCGGCACACCCCTCATACGTGTCGTGGCCCCATCGGGAGCTCAACCGAAGGCCCCAGTGGCTCACCACCACCAATTTCGGCACACCCCTCACACGCTTCGTGGCCCCATAGGGAGTTCCACCGAAGGCCCCAGTGGCTGCGTTCGCATGCCTCCCCACCACCCATTT